CATCTTACCTTCACAGACAGATGCTTTGAGTTTGCCAAAGCTATACATTGGGGCTCTTGATCTCTGGCCACATCCTTCTCCCCTCTGTGTCCCCACTTTCCCTTGGGTGTGTCAACATCGCCTGGTCTCAGGGAGTTCAAGAGTCACACGCTGACTGGTTAGGTCTGACCACCCCCTGATGTCCTCTTCCCCTTTATCTCTGTCCCATACCCATCGTGTGGTACCCATCACATCCCAGAGGGCAAAAGCCTCAGTCGGCAAAAGATGTGGGTGACCTTTGGAGGTGGAGATAGTGCACACCCAGCCCAGTTGCACTCACAAGGTATAAATGTTACTTTTAGTGGCCATGTGCTGTTGGGTGGTCTAGAGCTCTGAGGCCATGGACAACCACACCTGCCTGCTGTCACAGACTGCTGTAGAGGCTGCCCTTCCAATGGCGGTGGTGATTACCTGCCTGCCTCATCCCTGAGGAGTGGCGGGAGGCTGCCTGCAGTCATCTTGTACTCATTCACTTGGCGTTTGTGTAGTCATGCTTGGTGCCCCTCAGCCCTTTAGCCTCTTTGCTTTTTCTTGCTCCCTACTCAGCTCCAAGATGGCACCTGAGGCCATTGCCTATCAGGCTCATGGTGATGAGTAAGGTTAGAACATTGATAATAGGAAGAATCTCTTCCATATTAGGAATGCAGTAGCTTCTTGAATCTACTGCTTTTCCTTTCTCCAAGGATCCAGAAATCTCTGGTTTTCATTGTCTTTTTCAGTAGGAGGTGGTAGTGGTGGTGGTGGTGATGGTGATGGGGGCGGTTTTCCACATTAACATCTTGGAAAATGAGTAGTTCAAGATCTTCTCCAATTTGACTGAGAGTAGATTGTCTGTTTCCAGGGCTACTTTTGCTAAGAGCTGTGGAAGGCTCATTTATAATACACTGGCAGACCTTCTGTGGTAGAAAAGGAAACGGTATTTCTCACCACGCCGAGTCTGGAGTAGAAATAGCTGTGCTGCCCCCTGGCTCTTGGTGGGGCGAAGGAGACTTCTTTGTGGCTTGATCTCCCTAAGAATAAAAAGTTCTTGAGTCTCGGAGCTGATCTAACCCTCAGGTCATCCTGCAGCCCTTCCAGGCTTTCTTCCCTTGCTTGCTAAGATCCACTCATGGCTCGTTTCTGTCCCATGGTTGATGTGTCTGAACTTCAGTGGTTTAGTTTCTACTCTTCGCCCTCGGCCTGTGCCTGCCTCTTGTCTCTCCACCGAAGAGAACCAATTTAAGAAAAGCTTTCATTTGTTAAAGTGAGATTTCTCCCTCTTTGAGTTCAAGGAAAATTCCAGAGAGATTTACAGTGAGAAAGAAGAGGAAGGTGTTTCCAGCAGTGAGCAGTTTTGAGACCAGAAGCCGCACAGCCGCACTCAGTGTGACTGCAGGGCAGCAACTGGGTTGATCTAGGCTCCACAACTTCCCCCTTAGCTCTGCAGACCTCTGCACAGGCAGAACACGAGCTCTTAACCAGGAAGGGATTTTTGTCCCATTTTATCACAGTACTTAGCTTTTCAAGCAGTGGGCACCCTCAGGAGTGACCTTTCTCTGGACTTTAGAATTGGATGTCCTCAAGCCTCCCTCTCCAGGCTTCTCAGTGGGAAGGTTTCTGTAGTCCCCTTTTTAGAGCTTGGGAGATCTCCTTTTAGTTTGCTTTTTATTTTTCCTTGGCAGTAAAGCCATGGCTTTTGGAAACGTCCCATTGGACGATGATTCGTGAATGCCATAAAGACGGGACTAAAATGCCATAAAGATGGGACTGAAAGGGTCAGACCTGTGTACTCTTTTTGCAGAACACATTAATAAATTTAGAGCAGGACAGACATCCAGCCTAGACATCTAGTCCATCTGTGCAGCCCTAAATTCATCCAATGTGTCCTGTGAAAAAGGGAGAGAACATTTTACCTTGGCTTGCTTTGCTCGTCCTTTTGGGGACTCACGTCCTTTTATTACATTTTTTCTAGAAATTCCTTCTTGCTCATCTTTGCATGGTTAGTGAGTATCAAGAGAAGCACAGATGATCTCTTATTAAAGGACCACACATCCCAGCCTCTGGGAGCCCTGATTGTAGGTTCACTTGAATTCTTACAGGCAATGAGTATTGATGAATCAGGTTCCAAAAGGATGTTCCCAAAGCCAGCTCCACTGAGCTGTCACACTTGCTCCAAATGCTTTTGCCTTGGGACTTCTGCCACTTCTCCATTGTCCACTCTTGCATACGGCTGCTAATTCCTAATTCCCTACTTTCGCTTCATGTCTGCCCTCACACGGATCTTAGGACCTACTCAGCCTCACACGATAGTCTTGGTATGTCCCAGAGTTTCTCGGCAGCAGAACTGTTGACATTTTCCCCCAGTCATTCTTTGGGGCGGGGGCAGTGTCCTGGGCCTTATAGGATGTTCCACACCATCCCTGGCCTCTATCCCCTAGATGCCAGGCTCGTCCTGCCCAAGTCATGACGACCAAAAATGGGTTCCCTGGGGTCAGAATCATCCCTGGTTGAGAACCACTGGTATATCCAGAGGAGGGCTATTTCTTTGGCTGTTGTCATCATCACAGCAGCATCTGAATGTGGAATTCCAAGGAAAGTTGGTTTCTATTTGTTTAACTGATGAACTAAGTACAGACTCCCAATTAATTCCTAGGAAGAAACAGCGTGTCCTTATTTATTTTTCAAAGAGCCTTTCTCGGTGTTTGCAAATGGCCTGTACACATAGGGTAATGTGAATTGCAGATTCTGCCTCTGCTGACCTTGGCTTTGAGGTGCTTTGTGCTCTTTCAAGGAAATATACCACGGACACGTGGGGCGTGAGAGCGCAAGCTTTGCTACCCCACGTGTGAGAGGCAGGATGGATGTGACAGTAAGCCTCATGTCTGTATGGCTCCGCAGAGTAACTTGAAAGCACACAGACAGCCCCTGCCTGTCATCCCCTCTGCCCCACCACACACGTCACCCACATACTCACCATTCATTGCAGTGTGAAATCTCCTTGGGTGAAGAATAGGTGGTCGCTTATTAAAATGGAAATAAGCCCAGAGGCTGGGCGCGGTGGCTTACGCCTGTGGCTCATCCCAGCACTTTGGGAGGCCAAGGCCAGCAGATTGCTTGAGCTCAGGAGTTCGAGACCAGGCTGAGCAACATGGCAAAACCCTGTCAATACAAAAAATAGCCAGGTGTGGTGGTGCGCACCTGCAGTCCCAGCTACTCAGGAGGCTGAGGTGGGAGGAACAATTGCGCTCAGGTGGTTGAGGCTGCAGTGGGTCATGCTCACACCACTGCACACCAGCCTGGGTGACAGAGTGAGACCCTATCTCAAAAAAGAAAAAAAAATTAATAAACCCAGAAAGGAAAGCTGTTTGTCATAAAAACCTTACTTTGAATTTATGACATGCTTTCCACCTCAACAGGTACTTAGGAGCAGGTTTTATTTGATGAAAAGTAGGTGGGAAAAGGGTAATGAAAGTAGCTTCATGGCCGGGCATGGTGGCTCATGCCTGTAATCCCAGCTACTCGGGAGTCTGAGGCAGGAGAATCACTTGAACCCAGGAGGCAGAGGTTGCAGTGAGCTGAGTTCATGCCACTGCACTCCAGTCTGGGCAACAGAGCAAGACTCTGTCTCAAAAAAAAAAAAAAAAAAAAGATTCTCAAGCACACCTCATAGAAGAGAAAGTGTGAAAAAGGAGCTGAGAAAGCACAGCCCATGAAACTCAACTGCCTTATAAAAACACTAGCAGCACTCGCGGCCTCTCGCCTCTGCTGGGCTCTGTGAAAACCCCATACATTTCACCTTCATGACAGCCTTGGCAGGAGGTGTGATGATTCTCCCAGTGTTACAGATGAGCAAACTGGGTGGACCCCACTTCACAGTTAATCCAGAGCTATTCTCTGTTAGAGACCCAAGGATGCCTAGTTAGTTTGAAACATGTGCTAGCTCATCGTGAATCCATATTGGCCCTGTGGTGCTAGCAGCAGGTCCCAGGGCAATAATTGGCAACATCTGGAAAATCTTTCTTAGGATCCTCAGTGAAACTCTTCCTGCTTCAGAATCACCCTGGGCTTTCGGGGACTTCAACACGCCACTACCCTTGTGGGTGGCTGACAAAGTGAAGAGACACCCCTTCCCCACTTTTGGGGTCAGGCTACCAAGCCATGCTGCCTAAGCGGCTGTGTGTCTCAGAGACTCCAGTGCAGCAGTTCTGCCTGCAGCCTCGACGCGCACAGAGCACCCCAGTGGACCCTGGAAGAGAGGAAGGGCCAAGACAGCAGGCCTCTCCCTGCCTCCCCAGGGTGCCATGCAAACCACCTCCAGCCTGAGACCACCCTGCAAATGAGCTCCAGTCGCCCAGCCTGCCCGCTGGCCAGCTGTGTCTAGGTGTGCTAAATCCTAGCTGGGCCAGGTGCAAATCTCCCAGCCTTGCCACCACACCTACCTCATATCGCTTGAAGCTTAATTTAGGGGCTGGGGTTGCTAGAGCAGCCCAGTAGGAAGGCAAGGATAACACAGTTTTTCATTGCAAATATTGCGGCAAAGAACGAGATGTCGGCAGTAACTCACCCCCCTCGCTTGGTCCAGGGGTAACTGCCTGCAGCCCCAGCCAACGTCCTGGCCTTTCAACACGGAGCTGTGACTGACAGCCCCGCGTGCGTGGCTTCCATGCTGTCAGCTCCGCTTGCTTGGTGAGGTGGACGTGAGGGGACAGGGGCTGTCCCCTTGTTGCTGCCTCATTGCCAGCCGTGCATTCCCACCCAGGGCTTCTGTTCGGGGTATTTCGAGATTTACAGTTGGGTAACTCCTCGTTGTCTGCTGTGCCTGGCTTTTGAATCCAATAGGCCTGCAAGTCTTCCAAGATTCCTCCTGCCTAACCAGCCCTGAGTTCCCCAGGGCCGTGCCCCTCTCCAGAGAGGGCCCTCGGAGAGCTGCTGTGCATTGTCATGTGGACTGACCTTTCCTTCTTTTTGTCTTTTCTCCACAGTGCGGCAAAGGAGCAGAAAACTTTGACAAGTTCTTCACACGAGGGCAGCCCGTCTTAACACCGCCTGATCAGCTGGTTATTGCTAACATAGACCAGTCTGATTTTGAAGGGTTCTCGTATGTCAACCCCCAGTTTGTGCACCCCATCTTACAGAGTGCAGTATGAAACTCACCAGCGAGAACAAATGCCTCCCCAGCCCCCAGCCCTCCCCACGGTGGGAAGTGATCCTTAACCCTAAAATTTTAAGGCCACGGCCTTGTGTCTGATTCCATATGGAGGCCTGAAAATTGTAGGGTTATTAGTCCAAATGTGATTAACTGTTCAGGGTCTGTCTCTTACAACCAAGAACTTTATCTTAGTGGAAGATGGTACGTCATGCACAGTGTCCAGTTTAATTCTGTAGAAGTTACGTCTGCCTCTAGGTTAACCCTTCCTAGAAAGCAAACAGACTGTTGCCCCATTTTGGGTACAATTTGATATACTTTCCATACCCTCCATCTGTGGATTTTTCACCATCGGAATCCCCCAACCAGAGATGTTAAAGTGAGCCTACCCCAGCCCAGGGGGCTGGAAACATCTCCACCCAAGACGTCTTGGAATCCAAGAGCAGGAAGCCAAGAGAGCGAGCAGGGAGGGACTGGGGGTGGGGGAGGCCTCAAAGTACCCTCTACGTCCGTTCTCTGCCTCCATGGAAACAGCCCCTAGAATCTGAAAGGCCAGGATGAACCTAATCACTGTTCCCAAACATTGACAAATCCTAACCCAACCATAGTCCAGCAGTTACCAGTTTAAACAAAAAAAACCTCAGATGAGTGTTGGGTGAATCTGTCATCTGGTACCCTCCTTGGCTGATAACTGTCTTGATACTTTCATTCTTTGTAAGAGGCCAAATCGTCTAAGGACGTTGCTGAACAAGCATGTGAAATCATTTCAGATCAAGGATAAGCCAGTGTGTATGTACGTTCATTTTAATCTCTGAGAGATTATTTTTCAATCCAGGGTGCCATCAGTAATCATGCCACTACTCACCAGTGTTGTTCGCCAACAGCCACCCCACACACACCAATATTTTGCTGCCTACCTTGTTATCCTTCTCAAGAAGCTGAAGTGTACGCCCTCTCCCCTTTTGTACTTATTTATTTAATAGGCTGCAGTGTCGTTTATGAAAGTACGATGTACAGTAACTTACTGGAAGTGTTGAATCTAGCATCAGCCCCTGCTGATTGATTTTCCTCCCTTCTCCAGCCCTGGATGTCCACTTAGGGATAAAAATAATACGGTTTTGATTCCCATTTCTAGTACACCTGGAGCTGTAGAATCAGGAAACCCGGATGCCTAACAGTTCAAAGATGTTTTATTGCTAGAAGGATTTTACTATGTTTTGCAAATGCATCATGCAATGAATTTTGCATGTTTATAATAAACCTTAATAACAAGTGAATCTATATTATTGATATAATCGTATCAAGTATAAAGAGAGTATTATAATAATTTTATAAGACACAATTGTGCTCTATTTGTGCAGGTTCTTGTTTCTGATCCTCTTTTCGAATTAAGTTTTAGCTGAATCCCTTGCTTCTGTGCTTTCCCTCCCCGCACATGGGCACTGTATCAGATAGATTAATTTTTAAATGTAGATAAAATTTCAAAAATGAATGGCTACTTTACATGATAGATTAGGCTCTTACTACGTGTGTGTGTGTATATATATATATTTGATTCTACCTGCAAACAAATTTTTATGGGTGAGGACTGTTTTTGAGCTGACACTCCCTCTTAGTTTCTTAATGCCACCTTTCATCCCAGTTCCTCCGCCACTCTTCCTCTTGGGGACAACAGAAAGTGTCTGATTGCGGTCTGCCTAGTACACTGGTGCACATGTGGCGTTGCTGCAGCACCTGGGCTGACCTTTGTGTGTCCGTGTGTGTGTGTTTCCTTCTTCCCTTCAGCCTGCGACTGTTGCTGACTCCAGGGGTGGGAGGGATGGGGAGACGGCCCTCTTGCTGTGTGTACTGGACCCGCAGGAAGCGTGCTGTCTTGCTGCCTCTGCAACGACCTGTCGTTTGCTCCAGCACGCGCAAACTTCATGAGACCAACACAGCCGTGCCCTGCAGGCACCAGCACCTGCTTTTCAGAGGCCGCGGACTTTCTTCCAGCCATTGTGGCATTGGCCTTTCCAGCCTTGGGAGGAGCACGCTGCTTTGGTGAGACACCCCCCATGCAAGGTCCTCAGAGGAGCCAGGTTCTACCACAAACAGAAAGAGAGTGAAAGTAGCTGTCGGTCCTTGTAGAGAGCCACTCTGTTTCCTCCCGGAAGCATCTCCCAGCTAAACTCGCCTTATTTTTCTCCTCTGGCTGTTTGCCTGAAGTTCGCAGAACATACAACCATGAAAGGCTTTTTGAGGTGAGAGGCCCAGGTGGTCCTGGCAACCCTGAGTAGAAGGAGAGACGGGGTAGGGAATGGGCCCGGCCAGAAAAGAGCCACTTGTTCTGCCATCTTTTATGCACCATAGACATCAAGACTCCAGGGTGGCCTGGCTCCCCTGTTCTTGCGGCCCTGCGGATCAGTGCACAATCTGGGCTCGTGTCCTGACCAGGTGCACGTCCTCTGATCCGAGGGGAAAGGGACTGGTTTATAGAAAGAGCCTAGGAGACAAAAGGGCCGGTCCCCCTGCCCAGAATGGAGCAGCAGCAGGACGGACCCCCATGAGGCCCCCAGAGAGGAGGAAGGTCCCATGGAGGAACACATGGGGTTAGGGATCCTTGTTCAGCACCCCAAACGGCCTGTGTGTTTTAAGCAAGCAGCAGGCTCAGGCCTTCCCTGTAACCCCATCACCCACAAGTTTGTTTCTCTAGGAAACACATTCACCATCTCAGCTGGCTGTTATTCTCTCAGACCGTGTGGCAAAGTTTTCCAAGAAAATGCCCCGACGGGGGTGCCCAGCACACTGCCTGAGGGACAGCAGACCCCGGAACAAACCCCCAGGGGGAAACAGTCAAAATCAAGGCCCAGTGCAGTGTTGTCAGTGGAACCTGCTTTATCCATTGCTGAGTGTTGAATGTGGGTCATGGTTAGGGCTTTACAGATCTCAGCAGCCCAAGACTGTTACTGTTGGGACTGTCATGTAGATAACCATGAGCAATGGCTCGCCTCGGAATCAGTTTGTGATATTCTATGGTCCCAGCCCCTTCGTGGGCATTGTGTGAAATGAGATGGTGGCGAGGGGTGCGCTGTGGAACTGCCGCAGCCACGCATGAGGTCTCTGGGGGACCCTTTGGGAAGTCCTTGCTTCTGAGCACGACCTGATTGCCAGGGCCTGCGGAGGCCTAGGCCACCGGGCAGAAGCTAGCACCGTCCAAATCCCCGCGGGACCCGTGGAGCTATGACCACAGCAGGCCATTCAAACGGCTCTGCATTCTTTCCTTGGAAGGTGGCCACTCCTGGGTGGCAGAGCCTTTCCCTGAGGCTGCAGGCCATGGGCTGGCAGCCTGTCCCTTGGCATTTCAATTGAAGGTCACCAGGTGCTGGCTTTGAAAGGAAGTCACTGGAATGCTGCCGGGGGCCACCCTCCGAGGTTAATGCGAGCGCCCACATCCAGGCAAGAACTAATTCAAAAGGCAGATCGGAAACCACAGGAGTCAAAATGATTGCTCCAGCAGCGCTCCCCTTCCTTTCATCCCCTGGTCTCGTGTGGTCCATGCAGAGCCACTGTCTGCCCTTTCTGAGGCCACGTATTAGACCTTCTTATTCAGAATTTTAATAGAAAACCATGGGGCCAAGAGCTTTGGAAGCCTGGCCGGAAAGACCAAGATTCAGGCTAACCCAGCAAATGATTGTTGAGCACCTCTGTGAACCAAAGTCCTTGGGCGAGTGTGGTGACTTCCTGGAAGGAGGGTGCAGACTTCCAGAGAACCCCCACGGACGTGCTGAGAAGAGAGAGGGAGGCGGGGGCTGCAGTCAGGAAGGAGCCAGAGAAGAACAGGGTTTGGATGCTTCCAGAAATATGCCTGCGGTAGGAGGGAGAGGAAGGGGTGCCACTGTCAACGGCTTCCCATCGGAGGTGGTTGGTGCAGATGGAAGTTTCCGTCTGCTGGCCCTCAAGAGAGTGTTTTGCCAGGGACACAGTCTGTTCCTCCTCAGAAAACACCCCCCAAACGCTGACAACATCCCCACCAGCTGCTGGAAGCCCCTCTCCCCTCCCCACCTTGAAGGAGCTCATAGTTCTCTGGGCAGAGCCAGACCATCCAGCGTACCCCAGAGGCCAGTAGGTTCCTGCCCATTTTCCTCTCTGGCTTCCTGCCAAGAATTATGGCAGCTGAGGATAAATGGAGAAGTCA